GTCATAGGTACTTTCAAATCTTTGAGTTTCTAAGCAAGGTATGCTATTTTGAGAATATGTTCTCGTATGCTTTCCACTCCATCAAATTTCATTGAAGTGAGTTGTATGAGAAAATTACAAGAACCCTTTTGCATTGGCAGCAAGGAACTCCTTTGCATTGACATGCTTTGGAATGCCTCCCTTCACATATTGAGTCATAGCCTTCTTCATTATAATCAGAGACAACCTATTAGCCCTCTCCTATTTATCAAATTTGATTCTTTGATTTGCGGTGCTTGCATCAATAAGAGCTGCAAGCTGATCCTCTCTTAGTGCGCTACGTGAAGATCCATCAGTCCCAACACTATCTCTGCAACTTTCTTCCATTTCTTGAAATTTGAACCAGTTAATGTCTCAATGTTAGAGAAATTGAGTGAAGTACTATAAGGAGCTGGAGCATAAACAAGCAATTAATCAATATCATTTACATCGATTTCATGACAGACAATGAAAAGCTTCACTTTATGCCTTTCATATATGTGGTTTGAGGGACCACATATATGAATGAAGAAGGGTGATTTCTCCAAGCCCACGATGGTTTATGGTGGCAATGCCAAATATGGCATTGGGATTTTTTGGGTTGCAGGCCTAGAGCTGCTGGCTTCATGGCTTGGGTTATGGGGTTTTATGCTTACTCGACGGCCCGGCTGGAAACCGCTGCTTGTGATGGGGTTTTCAAGAACCCTAATTAAAAAATTTTCAATTATTTCATAATATCAATTTACAATAACTGCACAATTATGGATATAATGCAAAAACAATTTATGTAGAATCTAAACTTTGTAAAATGTAAAGTTAGGTCATGCATTAGGTGAAGGTTCCCACAATCATGGCTGAAAAAATAATCAAGATTAAGATCATCGTTTTGGAAAAACCTGATTACGTGATGATATTGATGAACTGGTTTGTAGCATAAAATTCCTCATTAGATTCCTTAGTGCAGTGGAGGAGCATGTTGATAACGTGTTGTTGCCTATTTAACTAAAAGGGAATAGAGGGGTGCAACCAAAGAGAGAGAATGGAGAATTGTAGGGATTTCTTGTGCGTTGTTATTCCACCCCCCCCCCCCCCAACACAGTGCATTTATTATAAATTGTCTTGCAAGTAAACACATTGTTATATGGAAAGAATAACTAGCAATCGAATCTATCTAGAATTTACACAATCACAATCCCGAATATCTATAACATAATTAAATTTATAAGGTAATCATAGTTAGTTAAATGGACATGTGGTACAATTTTGGAGGGGAGGTAGTGGTTATCTTGGATTAGGAGGTGAACAAAAACACACTCCTGCATCAAAGTATCTAAAAAACGACACACCATCAACCTCGAAAACTTAATCAAGATGGTTACATGTCAAAGCTCTTCAAGCTTCTATCAACCTTCAAATTTAATGTCTTAACCAATAAAAAGACAATACTTGGAAAATGAAATCATTAAAATTTGAAGTGGCTAGTCCTTTCGGTTTAAGTCACTTTACAAAAATTCAAAACCATCATTGATACTAATTAATTGCAGTTTAGTTTGTTTTAAACATTTTTTACTTTTGTTTTTGTAAAAATCAACAAAACCGACCATTGCGATTTGAGTCAGCAAACTTTAGTACTGATTTAGGGCTGTTGTGCTTTTCAAAAAAGCAGTTTATTTTATAATTTTTTATGTTAAAGGTGTTTTTTTTTTAATTTTTTAATTTTAATTTATTTTTTATTTTTAAGTACATTAATATTTTTACACTAAGGTAATGAGAGTTTAGTTAAGTCATATAATGAGCAGCCTAATTTGATATCGAATTCATCATTTACGAGATTCGAACCTAAGACGTCTCACTTTTAAATTAAGATACCATCAAACCGTAATACTGAATGACATGTTAAAAGGTGTTTGATAAACTTAAAAAAAGTAGATGCTTATGAAACTTGTGGTGATCGACAGCAGCTATATGTTGTTTTGAAAAACGTTTTTTTGTTTTTTTTTTTTTTTTTTTTTCAAATTATACGAAGCAATATTGAAGGTTTAGTGAAACTTTCCAAACTTCAGTAACAACGTCGTCATTTTCACAAAATGACAATCCTTGTCCCTAACACTCTCTCTCTTTCCTGTTCTCTTGTTTTTCCCCCTGCAGGGTACCCCTAGGACAACCGACAACCCCGTTTTCCTTCAAATGGAGAGATTTTTCAGTATAATCGGTACATAAGATGGTATATTACGTGTCATTATACAAATAGTGGAATATATATGCTAAAAAGTTAATAACTTAAAAAATAAAATTTCTCACTACTTTTATTAAAACACGTGCTGTACTATTTGTGTTTCCGTTTTAATGAAAAATTTCTTCTTGGCCAAGCTTTGAATTCAAACCCTTAAGACCTTGTCTCCTCTTTCTCCCCAAACTTTCTCCTTTGCTCTTCTTCGTGTCGCATCTAACCCTCATGGCCGTTGGGTTCGAATTGTTGTCATCCCTTAGATGGAAGCCTGGCGACTTTCAATTGAAGGCTTCGAATCGTTGCCGTCCTTCCGATCGAAGGCTTCGAATAGTTGCTGTCCTTCGTACCGAAGGCTTCGAATCATTGTTATCCTTTCGATCAAATTGTTATTGTCCTTCAGTTCAAAAGATATTGATGCATGACAGAATTAAGGGTATCGAAAAGAGGGGAATAGTTAACCTGAGATTCGCTCAATCAAGAGCAACGAAATCACTCATATCTTTACGAGGATAGAACCTGGGAATCACTCGACCAGGGGCAATGAATTCACTCGCGTCGGTAATCATGGATTCACTCGACACGACCAAGTCTCACACTTGATTTTAAGGAGGAGAAAACTCACTTTCTTCTTAGATTAACTTTAATTCACTAATTTCATTACTTTTAAGGATACATAAGGAGCCCTTTAAATAGGGAAATTGCAAAGCATTGGTATACTAAATATTTAAGAGTAAGATAGTTACTAGGCAATTCAATTAAAAGAGAAGGTCACAAAGGTTTTGAGAGATGAGAAGTCAATAAAGCCTTAAATATATTTGTTCGCCATGCACTGCATCATTCTACTCTTCTCGAAAAGACTTGTCCTCGGGTTTGTATGGTTTTTAATCTTGATTTGAATTTAGGTTTTCAACCTTGCCAATGATATGTCATCGGTTATAATGTCCCCAAAACTTGATCTTTAACAATTTGCTGGAGAATTAAAAAGCAAATTTGAACAACTCCTTCATCACTTGGTCGTGACCACAATTTTACATACGTGTAGCTTATTGATGAACTTAACATTGGACTATATCAATCTCCTCATCTTGAAAAAATCCAAATCCTTCATATTCTAAACTTTCCAAGCTACAAATATCTATCAAAGCATGTTCTTCAACATTCACTTCAACGTTAGCAACTCTTTGGATAGGAATCATCAAAACACCATCCTCCGAATACTCATCATATAGTGGGGGTAAATTCCAATCAATTCTTTGTGAATAAAACAGATCTTCCTCCATAAATATCATACTAGAGTGGCTTTCATATACCTGAATATTATTCATTGGAACAAGATGCTAGTATATCTCTTCGTTGAAAAAGAAACCGCGCCTTGTAGATTTTGCACAAAACGTACACCTTTCACTATTTGCTAGCAAATTGCTGCAAAAAAATTTGATTGAGGCACTGTTTGTTCTGTTGGAAAGTGGACTCCTAGACCTTTACAATGATAGGTAACCTTTTGGGTGACTCGGACAAAGAGAATTGAAAATTGAAGAAGTGTAGAATCAACAACACGATTTTTTTTTCCTTTTAACTCCGAAGCGAAGAGCTTACTCTGATGCTACTTGATGCAGAACAGAACCAAGGGTATCGAGGAGAGAGGAATAGATAATCTGGGATTCGCTCAACCAATAGCAACATAATCACTCACATCTCTACAGGGATAGAACATGTGAATCACTCGACCAGGGACAATGGATTCACTCATGTCACTAATCGTGGATTCACTCGACATGACCAAATCTCACACTTGATTTTAAGGGAGAGAAAACTCTCTCTCTTCTTAGATTAACTTTAATTCACTAATTTCACTACTTTAAGGATACATATGGAGCCCTTTAAATAGGGAAATTACAAAGCATTGGTATACTAAATATTTAAGAGTAAGATAGTTACTAGGCAATTCAATTAAAAGAGAAGGTCACAAAGATTCTAAAAAATGAGAAGTCACTAAAGCTTTAAATATATTTGTTCCCCATGCACTGCATCAGATATCTTCGAATCATTGTCGTCCTTCAGATCGAAGGCTTCGAATTGTACTACTTGTAGTTTACTAATCATCCAATTGCCTTACACGTTGCACATAACGCCTGTAAGGATCCCAGATCAATTTGAATTGTATTGCTTCCTTCTAAATTGGAGATGTAGTTTGCATCCCATTTATCTTGTATAAGAAAATATCATGATAATTCAATAAACTATTAAGAAATAATTATGATTTAAAACCGTAATATTACCCCTCAACAATAATTAAAAAATTATCATAACATCTCTTAGTCTAGAATCATGCTCACTTAAGAACTTCAATTGCCCGAACCAATGATTTAATATTGGGTCTAAACAAAAACCGTGCTATACCAAATTAGTCCTTAGTCGAATGGATGTCCACGCATATACAAAACATAATATTAGAAATGTGTTGAGCTCTTCCATAATGGTATGAGTTCAAATCTCGTTGGTGACTAATCTAACACATAATCTAAAAAACCTATCGTTTGAATAAAATAAAATTTGTCACTCAGCACTACGATCTGACGATATTTCTCTTCACCTGAAATTGAGAGGTTTAGGTTCGAATTTTGTGGATGACGAATTTGATACCAAATTAGACTTTCTATTGTGTGAACCAATCAGTAAAAAAAAAAAAAAAACAAAACAAAAAAAAAAAAGCAGTTAAAACTTCTCAGATTAGGGGGTAAATGTGAAAATCCTTAGCTATTGAAGTTTACCTTGCATCGATTCAAGGCACCTCACTTTGTTTCCCCTTCAACCTTCCCCAAACAGCACAACCAACAAGACTCGGCTGAGATTCTGAATCAGTGAAACGCAAAAGCAGCTCCGAAAATGACAGAGGCAGTGATAAGAAATAAACCGGGTATGGCGAGCGTCAAGGACATGCCGGTTCTGCAGGACGGTCCGCCGCCAGGTGGATTCGCTCCGGTCCGGTACGCTCGCCGGATCCCCAACAAGGGTCCCAGCTCAGTGGCCATATTCCTCGCCGCCTTCGGTACCTTCTCTTGGGGCATGTACCAAGTCGGAAAGGGCAACAAGATCCGCAGGTCTGAGCTTTTATCTTTTTCCCATTTATTTTTAAATTTGATTATATGGGTTTTGTTTTAATTTTTTTAATTTTCCTTTTCGTTTCATTGATTTTTTTTGTTTTTTTTTTATTTTTTTGCAATTGTGTCAGCATTCGTGTTTTTGGTTTGATAAATTACTGTAATTTCCGATGTTTAGATTACAATTTGTGGGGTTTTAATTCCCATTTATCAATTTTTGGACGCATCGTATGCAAATTGTTAAATTCTTCATTGTTGAGGAAATGTGAATAGTTAGATGATATGCAGGATGGTATATAGATTACGGTTAATTTGGGTTGATCTGAGAATTACGTAAAAAGAGCATTTTGGATGAAGGGGTAAAGGGGAAGAATTCAGGTTTAGCCGTGTGGTCAGAACATGGTCTGAGGGTTTTGGTTCTATGCTCGACTACTAGGGTAGTCCGTTTGATACTAGTGAAAATAGACGCCAATACATTCATAATGTGCTAAGGGGCTCATTTTGCGGACTTTATTACAATGTTAACAACTAAGAATAGTATCGGATAGCTTAAATTCCATATTTGGAATGATTTTACTTAGCATTGCCTTTTTTATCCGGATGCCACTCTGTATAGTATCCACAGTATCAATAAATGGAGGTGCGGGTGCGAGTAACAGCCGGATAGTATTAAGTTAATAACTTATCAGTAATGGCGTCCTCATACCCTTTGCTCCCTATTTCCGTATAATCATCCCCACTCCATCTGCCCCTTAATCCTCTCCCTTGCCTTGTTTGCACAGGTGTTTGTGATTTGATGCCCCTCCTCCTCCCACATCTCCTTCCACCCACCAGTTGATCTAGTGTATCATAAGACCCGAATAGAAATAAATTTGGAGGCATGTTGAAATGTGTGCAGGATAAGTGTTCAACTAAGACGAAGAATCAGAGTAGAGGTTTCTCTTTAGTTCATTTCGTATGTGTTTTTCTGTGCGTTCAAATAAAACAAAAAATAAAAGAATGGAAGATGATGGTTTTCACTCCTCTTTTTTAGCGCTAAGAATGAGAAGGAAGTCAATGCAGAGTTAAAAGCCTCTACTTTTCACTTCTTTAGTTACTCAAGAAGTAAATCTACCATGAATGGTTAGTTTCAAGTTTTTTTTTTTGTTTGTGCTATATAGACTAGGCTGTTCAATCTATGTTTTTTCATATGTAAATAAGGATGTTTGTGGTCGATGCCTTAACAAATCCAGAAGGTGGAAATTCTCGTGCCTTTTCATGTTGTTTCTTACTTGTTACATGTTACCATTTAATTTGTATTGTCAGTTTTGATCCTTGGAGCCAATTGGCAGGTGTTCTTGGTTAGTTCTTCCATCCACTTTTCTTTCCCTGCAGCTTCCTCAGCGCTTATAGTCCTTGATTATTGGAAGGTTTTCTTCAAGTCAAACATTTGGCTAGGTTACCCCACTAGCTTGTCATGTGTCTATTTTGAATACATCGCATGGGGCTTTCTCCATAAGATGTGAATAGCTATTATAAATTAAATTATGTCTGTCAAATTGGATGCTTCCATTGGATATGTGCCCTCTTAGATTTTTGATGATCATAAGACGGTGATTTTTGTTCTTTGGGATGAAAATGTTTGGATGAGTTTCTAAGTCTTCTGGCTAGTAAAATCATTTCGTGGACTTGTGGTATCCAGGAGATTCATATATGTTGACTTTTCATAAGATAATTTGAAATATGGTTATCTTCGTGACTATTTGGACAGCATTGATTATCTTTATTCGGACATATTTTCTTAAATTTCATGCTCTTGACTTTAATTTTTGGTCGGGGATGGGGTTAGGGTGGAAGATGGAAATATTGATTTGCTTAAATTTCATTTTACACCTTTAGGAGAATGCTTGGTTTTGTTGGGGCACTATCCTACTCTTTTTTCCTGTCATATTAACAAGTAATTGATTATTTGGGTAAGCAGAGCCAACTATTTGTTCTTGTCGAGGATTTCCTTGATCTATGGTATATTACAAACTTAAAATTTGACTCTATGTAGGGCGCTCAAGGAAGAAAAGTATGCTGCTCGCAGAGCAATACTGCCGGTGCTTCAAGCTGAAGAAGATGAAAGGTAATCTGATTATATTATTGGTTGTCCCCTTCCAGTCATGTTGTGCCCTTACTCTTCATCTCCCTGAATTCCACGTAAACAGATCCGCTTATCTGTCTGTTCTGTTTCTTCAGATATGTCAAAGAGTGGAAGAAGTATCTCGACTATGAGGCGGAAGTCATGAAGGACGTGCCTAATTGGAAAGTTGGTGAGAGTGTCTACAACTCTGGAAAATGGATGCCCCCAGCAACGGGCGAGCTCCGCCCTGAAGTTTGGTGATTCATTTTTCAACTCCAGTTGCGTCTGCAGCTGGCTCCAGTTGGTTTGTTTTGTCTTATTGCATGGTTGCTTTGGTGGGATGTCATAGCTCTGTTGTGAAATAAAAATGCAGCAGAAAACCCTTATTCACATGTTTGCAAATACTACAACAGTAATTGTCTTATTTTATCCCCTTTATCATCATTCTCTTCTTCATTACCTCAGATTAAGAGTTAGCACAAGTAAGACTTTGTTCAATGCGGGATTTCGATAAAATGTTTACTGATTGTAGCAGACATCGAGTCATGAGATGTCCGTAAGCGCTATTTGACGATGCCTAAAACAGGTGATATTTTATCTGATTGTGTTGAACAAATTTTACAAGCATTAATTTTACTTCAGAAAGGGTTAGATTACTTGTTACATAAGTATGAGTGCAGCGGGGCAAACTCCGGTAGCGGATTTGATCCCATGGATTGAAAGAAATACCCATACGTTTGGGGACACCTAATTAGCTATTGCCCTGAGTGAAGATGAATAATGGGCAATTGAGGGATACAAAATCTTCAGGTCTCAAGGGAATGTATAAAACGGAAAGTACTAGTGTACAAAATAAATGTTTCGTATTAATGTAAATGTAGGGTTACAATCTCTGTTTACAGTTTGAATCCTTTAATTCGATGTCTGGAATGTAAAGTGTGTGTAGGGGTGATTGATCCAAGGGTCGTAATAACTTAATCTTGGATGAACGGATGCCGCAAGGGTTTGGCTTGTGGCAATGGAAGAATCATTACATGTAGTGGTGCTTGATTCTTCACGAGTTTGACGAAGAACGCAGAGAGTTTTTTTAGTCTTTTTTATGTTGTTTAGGAAGTTGTGAGTTTGGGGGGCTTGAGAGATTTAGTGTTTGGATGTGAGAATGACTTTTTTGGACCCTTTCTTTGTCTTGGAGCTTCGTATTTATAGGCTCTCCAAGCTTTTCCTACGAAAGAACCAAGATTTGATTTGTGTCTTGTTTCGTGATTTGACTCAATTAATTAATATTTGATTTGACTTAAAATTAATTAATTTGTTTAATTTAAATTAAAATCAAATAATTACTTTCCGCCAAGTATTGACATGTGTCCCTCTTGATGACTTGTCCGGTTTTTTATGAGTCACATGCCATGTGTACAATTTGTGAGACACATGTGTGTGCCATGTAAGCCCTAGCATGTCGAAATTTAATGTGTTAGCAAACATTTATTTTATCCAAAATTTCCATGTTCACAACAGTCTCGGCTTGGAGCTTAAGCATTGTTTAGAGGTATTCTGGTCCAGCAATCGAACTACACCTAGAAGGTGTTGCAAAAGCTTTAACAATAGAGCGAAGCCTTGGAGTACTCATAGGGTCGCCTGAATGTTAGATGAAAAATGAGATCCTTTCCATCCTAAAGATGATGAGGAAGAGGTTTTGGAGCATGAAGTTCCATACCTTAGTGTAATTAGTGCTTCATTGTACTTAACTCAATGCACTAGACCTGACATCTCTTTTAACGTTAATCTTCTAACAAGATATAGCAACACACTTGGTGATAAAGACATCCTTCGTTACCTTAAGGGTACTTTGGATTTGGGTTTATTCTATCAATATGCATCTCAGAAGAGATTTTTTGGTATGTTACTTATCTAACCCAAACAAGGCATGTTCTCAAATGTTTATGTCTTTACCATTGGAGATACCGCAATATCTTAGAGGTCAACCAAATAGACTTTAGTTATGACTTTTTCGAACCATACTAAAATTCTCGTCCTAAACAAAGCTATATGTGAATGCTTCTCGCTGAGAGCTGTAGTTGAGCAGATTCGAAGAAATTGTGGGGTTTCTTTCATCGTCGACTTCCCTACAATGATTAATAAGGATAACGCTGCTTGTATCAATCATATAAGAAATGATACATCAAATGAGGGAACACCAAGCATATTATGCTGAAGTTATTCTTTCCCTATCAGCAGTAAAAACATCAGAAGAATGAAGTTAAACAAATCCGATCCCAGTACAACTTTGCCGACCGCTTCACCAAGTCACTGCTGAAGTCTACTTTCTAGAATTATATGATGTTCAATGAATTGGTATGCCTAAACTTTTTGATTTGCAACATTGTTAGTTCTCCTTGGAATTTTGTCCAACTTAGGGGGAGTATCCTAAAGCATACTTACTTGACCTTAATGTACTCTTTTTCCTACGAGTAAGGGCATTTTTCCCTTTAGTTTTTGCTGCCTAACTAGGTTTTAAGGAAGGACCTATCCTAGGATGATCATACCCTTGTGTACATTATGTAGACGCCTAATGTGGACTTTACATTAATTCATATTTTTTCTTAGACTATGGTTTTTTGTCCCACCTTGAGTTTTACCATAGCTAAATTTTGTGAGACTTATTTACATATGCAAGTTCCTTGTTTTAGACTAGTGTGTTACTTTATCAATGCCAACAAGACGACTTCATCAACTATCTTTGCAAGATCTGATGTGATATCTACTTGAGTATTTACACACTTAGAGGGAGTTTGTGATAAATATTTAACATTGTGTGATTGTGTAAATCCGAGGTAGATTAGGTTTATGATTACTCTTTATTCTAGTGATAACTTTCCTGTTAGACTTTGTATTGCTTGGAGAAACGAGTTTCCCTCTCCTCATGGTTTACTATAAATAAAGGCATTGGCATAAAAAAAAAAAAAATAGATCCTATAATTTCGTACGCCTTATTCTCTACACTCTCTATTGCCATACCTTCTCTCTCCCTTTTAGTAAATTTTCCACAATCAGCGTATTGAATTTTTTTCACTAGTTTGTTAATTTTGTTTGCAGATGTATGAAGTTCAACTACGTACTTCCTTTTTCCTTTTCTTTTATTTTTTGGTACGAAGGTAAATTTCATTACCAATCAAACACACTCACAAATTGGGATCCAAATACAAATAAAGCCCAAAACTAAAATACGGATCCAAAAGCAAAAAGGTCCAACCCAAAGTTTGAGCCGAAACAAACAAATATAAATTTGAAAAAATCCTAGTATACAGAAGCCTTCAACACCATTGACCACGAACCACCACCTCTTGTCGTCATTGGGATCAACCAAACAAAGCCTCCAATTCGTAAAAGAAGAAGATTCCACCCTCCTCCATCAAGCCACAAAACTCTAATCCGCATCCACCATAAATGAAACTCATGGGAAAAAAAATCCCATAAGTAAAGTGCCAACAACAGCACATAGATGGAAGGTGGCGGTGTGACCACTCAAGCTAGAGCGCAAAACACCTTCCTAGAAAGCCACGAAACATGATAAAAAGAAACAGTTGTAGATCTGAGAAATTGCGGGATCAAGAGAGGCCGAAACCACTAGGGATAATTAGAAAATGAGTTGAAAAGTCTCATGCATGTGGAAAAACAGCAAGGGAAGAGGAAAAAGAAAGTCGGAATTGAGAAATTTTCGATGGAGGACTAAGGTTAGTTAGATCAGAGGCAAGATGATGAAAAACATGCCAAAATAGACGGGCAGAGGAGTAAAAGAAGGAAAAGGAAAAGAGGGAACAGACAAAAAGGACGGGTTGCCACCGACCTTGCCCCCCCTAGGGCCAGCGGCTGAACAAAGTAAGGAAAATACCAGTCACTCATACAAGAAAGTGAGAAGCACTCCCAACACGAGAGAACAACTCTCATCGAAAAGGAGAGGCAGTTGGGCACAGTGGAAAAGGGAAGTACTACGTGCTTCTTCTCTAGAAAAATTCTAAGCAAAAAATGTTTCACTTTTCGTGTGAACGTTCATGTTTAATTACCTAAGCTTTAAGGAGATGTTCTAGCCACGCGTTCGGACATGATTCTAGTTTCTACATGATTAACAGTACATGTTAGAAAGTATAAGCAACAATTGTGTCTGCGTTTTATGTCTTAAGTGAATTACTTCATAATATATATTCTGAATTATCATATGATGAGACAATTTCGTGCATGAGACCGGTCACCAAGAAAAACCCTTACGTACTTAAACCGATAAAATTGTTTCTAATCTAACAGGGCCCTGCGATTTGGATGGTCTTCCGAACCACCGGCAAAGAGCAAGAGAAGGCCAAGAAAGATGACTTGGAGATGCTAAGAACGATAGAAGTGCAGGCAGCTCGTACTCTTGGAGTCATTGAAGACGCGCTTGTACGCTTGGGCTAAGGACTTCACATAAGTCCCTTAATCGAAGAAAGTCTTCCTGGTCGTGATAAATTGGTGCTCTACTTTAAGCAGATCACGGAAAACTTGCTGGCATCTACGTGATGTGAAACTTTGCTAGATATTGCTGAAAGTTGATACAGAATTTTGTTTGTGAAATTGTAGACGAGCCATATGTACACAAATAGTTACTGTGTTGAGATAGATAAATGAAGAGAAAAACCGAATGATTTTATTGAAATCGTTTTCTGATACCAAGAAAGGAGAACAGAGTTGCTGGTATGGAATAACACTCCAAACTCTTAAGAACTTGACTCTAAACACACTAATTTCTAATAGCCTTGCTTATAATCTCAGCAGCACTCCAAATTGTCATAATCTCAGCAGTAAATTTGTCAAAATAGGACTTGAAGTAATTGACTAGATAGTTTGATTGATAACAAACGTTATATTATATTGGAATACAAGAGATCCAATTCAGGTGGGTAAATTAATAGAGTTCAATGTACAAGGATTTACTCAGTTAAATGTACAGAGACACAATACATGCACCCATAAAGTTTAACTAATTCTAGAAGAATCTGCAACATTGGCTGGGATACGGGCCGTGTCTCTAATACGAATAACAAAGAGAAAATACCTTTAGACTAATAGCTAGTTAGTAATAACAAATAAGCTGAAAAGGCACTTGTAGCTCATTAAGTGAATAACATTCCTCCTTGTATGCAATGTTCTAACTTCAAGTTCTGCTTCGACAAAATTATGTTTTATTTTTCGACAATTGATAAGGTATTACACTAAGTTTATCTAAACTACGCCAAAGAGCGGTTTGAATCCAAATGCGATAGGTTAAAAGGAAAATAATATGATCATAAGAATAATAAAGCGTATTTTGGTCAAACTGATATAGAAGATGACAAGATTAAATTTTGGTTAAAGCTGACCAAATTCAACGTCCATTTGTTATTAAACATGGAATGCTGAGCGATAAAAATTTCACT